GCTCAGCTATTGCAGTGTGTCGAATCATATAACCACACAATGCGATGGGATAGATTAAGAGTTCTCAAAAGCAAGTTAGTGGTATGTGGAGGGAGGGGGAGGAATGAGAGAGAGATTGATAGTTTGAGCTTTGTTTACTTAAATAGTATGAAATAAGTGTAGTAGGAAGGATAACTCAGCACATATTCCAGATATTTTAGTCCATTTGTTGATTGGCAATGGAATCCAGAATGAGCGTTTTGACCTATTTGGGATTCGTCACAGCAGGATGTATCTGCACTCCAGTGAGTGGTGTTAGTGGATGATCCCTCGGTGTTGGATTCGACTTTCTCTAAGTAGTACTACTGAAGAATGTCAGTGTGGGCTGTGCAATTCGTATAGCAGTCCATTAAACAAGGTTAGTTAGATTCCATTGGTCTAAATTTGTTCGCATACATCGGTGATGGGTTCCGTCGCAAACAAGCTATTGCAGGGATCTGGCTAACAAAGTCCACAGATCTATCTGAACAGTTTCTTACGACTCACATTGTTCAGTAGTATGTGTCGTTCCGTCAGTAGTTTTAGTCATTCAAATTACTGTTATCAAATTGTCAAGAATTCAGTGTCAACATTTTATCATTAGGCAGCTCAGAGAACACAATGCAACCAAGAAGTTGTTTTACATTTTTATTAACTCTATATTACTGTTACCAACTCACTTCTTTATTGTTAAAGAGGATCTCTGGTGCTGAGAAGATCTAGGGAGATGGAACTGGTATTCATTAGTTCATAGACATTACTTCAAACGGGTACTGGGTAACTGGTTATAAACTTAGCTTCAGCAGTCGATGTTTGAGCAGCAGATTCGTACTAAACCTTCAACCACACTAGCTATGGATAATATCAAAAACTGTTATGGTCCTACTTATTAGGCAATAAAAATAACAACAGTAAGAGGTAAGTGACAGTGTTATTAGTAGGTATTTCGCTTCCAAATATTGGCCTCATGTTATGAAAGAGTTCCAGAGTGATGATTATTAACCCGAGATGAGTGACTAATTTGTGGTGTTAAGAAGCGTTGGTGAAGGATACAATTACTGGATAATGCTTTAGGTCAGTTATTTAAAGATTGCTGTTTCGAGTCCTACTGCGACTCAGGTTTTCATTTCATTATCGTTATCTTGATAAAACTGAGTACTTTTTAAACTGGCTAAGAATGGAATCTATGACCCGTGTCTTCTCATATTTGGAACACATCAGCTGGATTTTTCCGCACCTCACTAAGTGATGTTGTTCCACTGGGACTGGTACTCACGACCAATGGCTTGAAACACCAAGATATTATCCACAAATGTAACTAAGGCACGAGGATGACGAGGGGTTACTGGGACACCATCAATATAATGAGTAATCAAGGAGTATCAAGGCCTTTGCACAGAAGCACATCTGCCAACAAAGGTCGAGGAATTCGACTCAGTATAACGAGAATATCACTATACTGCAAAATGTTTATCAGGTTGTCTGTTGAAGCAACCTATCTGTTTTTATGTAGGTGTTATCGAAATTTTAGGAGTTGACTGATATTTTTGCCAGTTTGCCACTAATATAATTTCAGTTGAAGTTTCTTTATCAACTGGATTGATTTTCCAGAATATGGTCGCTAGACCCACGCCCAACCTTCCTCCTTTTTCTGGGCTTGGACCAGGTAGTAAACTAGTGAACTAGTAATCGAATATGCAAATATGTCACGAAAAGCATTTCCAACAAACTACAGACATTCACCAACAGCTGCTGTCTACACATACTCGATCAGATCAGGTGGCCACAAAGAATGAGTAACAAGGAACTCTGGCTGGCTGACAACCAAGAACCTATCACCCAACAAATACGCGGAGGAAGAAAATGGAGATGGATTGGATTGGTCATTTACTGAGAAGGCCGACTGAGGACATCACGTACCAGGCCAGGCCATCGAGTGGAATCCAGAGGGGAAACGACGAGTTGGGCGTCCGAGGTGAGGGTGACATGGAGGAGATGATGTGAGGAAGAAATGAAAGCTTGTGGGTAGTGGTGGAGCCAAGTTAAGAAGACTGCAGAAAACAGAGTGGAATGGCAACGTGCTACTGAAGCCTATGTTTCACTTGGAGCCCATGCAACAAATAACGATGATAATAATAACAATGGGTGTAGCTAGATATCATTTAAGCAATCTTATGGATTCATGTAAAAAGCTTTCTGATTAGCTGTGTGTAAAAGTGAGATATTTTGTAACATATTCGAAAGGTTATTCATTCACTTTTCAGTTTCGAGCGTTTATTCTCGTGGTTACCACTAAACTCCCCCCGCCACACACACACTTCAACAATATACGTACCTACCAACAGGCAAGAGGAAAACCAATGAACAGCTGGTCGTTACAATTTGCTTAGTTACTAAAGGAGTAAGACCTGATAAGGTTGTATTCCCTGAGCTGGATGGCTTGTGTGATAGAAACTTGAGACAAGTGTAGAAGTTGGCATTCGTTCCAACCGCTAACAGACAATGAAGTAACTGATACCTGTTCCACTTGTTTATCGTATGACGGGGGGTTGGATAATAATTGGGAATGATAAGCTCTTTGGTTACGATTTTATCTTCAAGGAGAAGGGATTCCCAGGAGTTCGTTTGTAAAAAAAGCAGCACTTCAAATGGTTGACACTATCCTCAAAGAATACAACGCTATCTTGTTTGCTTACGGTCAAACTGTCACTGAAACCTACCTGAAGATGCTGTCTATATTGTTCCTAGAATTATTAATGATTTTTTTGAGATGATGTTGTTGAGCATTATGACCGATAAACATATGCATGAATTCAATGTACCAATGAGTAATACAGGTCCAAATGATGATAATATTGTTAGTGTACGTACGTCTTGAACTAAAATGTATGCAGTATACCGTTTGACGCTATAGTGCAGTTAAACATAACGTCACTATAAAAACCCATTTATCTAACTTTAATGAAAGCAAATGATAACTCAGACTTATTCTCATCATTGTACAAATATTGATGATGCCTTACGTAATCTCTTTATGTCAGTGTATATGATGGTGGTGGTTTTAAATCCCAAAAGTAGGAGATCATTTCCCTTGAGCTCCCTGAAATATCTTATTGAAGAGTGTCAACAAGGGCTAAGTCTAGGTTAAACACAACTTTCAGCCTTCAACTAACCAGTATCATTGAAACTCCACCGTGATACTGAGTATTCCAGCATAGTGAATACATTGCGAAATAATCGACTGAATTCGGTTAGTAGTCAGTACTCTATCTGCGGTCTACGCAGTAGTTAAACTAACAATGTTGATTTACAATTACTAAGTTAAAATCCCACTCCGTAGGATGAATCAGTGTATAGTCGATGTACTTACCATTCATATTTAATGACATTCCACAATTTCTGCGGTTACAGTCAATCAGATAATGTTTGATTTGTACTTTTAACACCTAGGAAAGAGCAGAACATGCCTTCTCGAATCTACCACAATGAAATACAACAGTAGTATACACTTAGGATTATAAAAGTTTTGTTATAGTATTCAATAAGTTCGCCAAGATCTTCATGAGAGGCCACATATGCCTAGGGCCATTCAAAGCCACTGCGGTTGTTCAGAAGTTTTTGGTAAAAGTACGTGAACCAAAGTGTAAAGATGTGATTAATGAAGAGGCAAAATCGATAGGAAGGTCTAGAAATAATTGATCCCACCGTAAATAGAGATGAACCGTGGTATTTTGTATATATTTCGACGCTACAATACACCGCCTTTTCTATTCACCGAGGAACTGAGTGACCATCAAGGGACCATAACCATAACAAGTGGTGAAAGGTGTAGGGAACCCAACTTCTAAAATGAAGTTAGTGAATCCTCTGATAACGCGTACTGCGCAAGTGAGAAGATAAACACTCAATTCGATAATCTGGGGGTGTTGAATGGAACTACTGCTCAAGAACCAGTGACCTCTGAATTATCGAACCGCTTGGTTTTCCTTCTCTACAAGTACTGTTAAATTTATACTAGGTGATGATTGAAAGTGTAACGAAAACTTGGATCGCAGCCAGATTCGAACCAGAGATCACTGGGTTTCTGTGCTGTCGCTCAACCAACTGGCCTACAAGATCAGACTGATAACCACATCATAATTTCACTTCAATCACCAAGGTTTTGTCCGACTACATGTGAATTCTTGACGCGTTACTATCACTTGATCATACTCACATTGGTTACCTAGTCAGGACTGGGTGGTGACTGAAGGTTAAATGAAAATTCGGACCGTGGCCGCATCTGAACCGGCGACTACTGGGTTTCTGCCCGATGCTCTACCAACTGAGCACCCAGTATCAATAATGAGAGTCTACCAAACCACGAATATCTCACTCAGACAGCCAAAATGATGTATATTAATGACGAATCTCCGGTCTGTAAATGAAACACTGAAACCATGACTTGGTCACTTTCTCCACAGACTGACGTAAATTGAAGCTATGCTATTGAGATACTTCGATGTTAGTAATTACGCTTTCCTTAACCAGCTAAATACGGTTCACATATAACTATGGATATATTTTTATTGCTAAGTTGAACCAATGATGATGTTTAGTATGGTAATGTAACGTCTAGCCTACCTACGAGGTCCGACTCCCCCCCCCAGATTTTTACTTCATTTCAGCCACCAAGGATTTTGCTCGACTACTATGCCAATTCATGACGTCAGAATTTATCATCAAATCCAAATCTAAGTGACACAGAGAACAGGGGGGCAGGGTGCGCATTATATTGATCATCATTTTGACTATGTCAGGTAACCGTTGTTTGGTAGACTGTGTTGATACTGTGTGATGATTGAAGATGGAATGAAAATTTGAACAACTACCGGATTCGAACCAGAGACTATGACCATTAAATTACTAAAAATGTTTCTATTCTATCCAGAAATTAGACTAAAAAGAGTAAAAATTATTTTATCCCCGTATTATAAACTCACATATTGGATTATTTATGTTATAATGATTTCGTTGATATTGTTCATAAACTGGTTGATGATGAGAAGATAATGGGCTACAATTATTTGTATTCATTGGTATCCAATAATTTGTATATTCATTATTCCATATATTTTGTTCTTGTTTCAAGGTCACATTATTCATCTGTCTACTATTGGTATGATATATATTGACATTATATGGTATATAATCACTATTGTTCAACATATCATGATTTATTTTAGTAATCTTTACAGGAAATTGTTTAAATTTTACTGTATCATTTGTTGATGATGACGGGATATCAAATGATGTTGTTGATAGAATCAAAGATGGTGTTGATGTGGACAATGTACTTGTCATTGTGACTTGTTGTAATTGTTGTTGAATTGATTGTCGTGTTTTTCTGAATTCATTCATTCTTTTCATCTGACGTGATTGAGTTGAATGTTTACTCCTTTTTGTTGAACGAGTAATTCTTCCACTTATATTCTTAGATGATATTTCAATACTGGATAAGTGATCATCTTCTACTTTATAGTAATCAAGAGATTCAATATTTGACCTATTTTATTATCCCCAGTTGTTTATATACACATATATTTAGAAAATAAAAGAAGGGATAAAAAGAAAATGAATTTCTGATTTCAATTTTGAACTTACGATAAACAGTAAAATATTGATTGATTAATTCTGTAGCTACTTTTGGGGCCGGGGGTGTTACATAATTCCATCTTAATTTGAAGGGTTTGTGAGGATTTATTGATTTTTCAAGTTTGTATTCATCATGAATTGAAATCATTTGAAGGGACATTGAAAACCTGAGAGCACTGGACACCTGTTTCGTCCTAGTATCAATCACCCATCACCGCAGGTCCACTTCACTAGGGATCCAACCCAGGACATTCAGGTTCCAATGCCAGCACATTACCAAAATGTCACTGTTTAGTATTTGTCCTCACGTCTACTAGGTTTATCCCACCGGTCACGACTTGTTATTGGAACTTCACGAATCACTTCTCGAAGCTAACCACCAATGTGTACTAGATCAATTCAATTTAGGGGTTTTTAGAGATTTAGCAGACCTGTTGGCCGTGGAGACAAATACTCAACGATGATATTAGATGATGGTCGTGCTATGTTGTGAAAAATGGGTCATTGGATCCCAACCCAGTGTCTCGATGGTAACGATCAGGCCGTGAACCTTCAGGCCCTGGGTTCGATCCCTGGCGGGTTTGTGAGTGCTCAGTGATTCCTCAGGTTTCCAGTGTTTCTTCAACTGATGTCAGTCCATGATGAGCACAAGCTTGAAATTTCATTTTAGTTTGTAAGAAAGACCGAAACAACATCTCATAGTGTGTTAACAGTAATCAGCAGGATGCATTTTACAAGCTCTAAGAAATTGAGAATTCGTCAGTGATTTGAATAGGTATCACGTACAGAGATCAGGAATACGTTATTCGAATCAAAATGGACAATGATTATTCATTGAAAAGTATGGAATTTTGTACCATCTAGTCCTGGATAGTGACCGCATTCTAGCATGGTTACCATATTACACACTTAATCAATAGGATTTAGGCTAAGCTTGAAGGTAAGGAACACAATTTGGATGAGTAAAAGTTTCTCTCGGTTTCAGCCAAGTACTTTAAGTCATGAAGTGGTGCCAATCAAACGGATTATTGAAAACCTAGGAACAGACATGCGTTTCAGCCTACCTTGAAACTGTATCATAAGATTGACTTAGGCGATTCTGCTGTGAGTGTCTTTAAAGTGAACAGATATTTTGACTCAAATATTAACTCAAGTAAAACAAAATGGAAACGTTTGTCATCTCTGGAGCGTATGAGACTACATAGTGTAGTGGGTGCTACTGACAAGAATGGATATAAGTAGTATATATTGAGATGTTCGCAGAAATCATAAGCAATTACCAGTGATGGGTCAGTATTCTGCCCAGAGGAACGCAAGAGACAATCTGAGCGTATTAAGAGTAAGTCAAGATAGAAGCAGAAGAGGAAATGAAGCACATTATGCAAATGACTATTTTATTGGAAGGTGTACAATTTTCATCAGCACAGTACAAGATATCGTGGTAAACATCTTCAGTCCTGCATCTCAGTCTTGTCGTTTCTCACAGTAGTATACTGTACTGTAGTCTAATTTGTTGTGTGGTTGAGGAGCTACTTTTAAGGCCACCCTAGCAACTGCCAAGATAGTCGATCAGGTTTCAAAATTCCGGGGAATAAGCAGTTTCTTGTAGAATACAAGAATGTAACAGGTTATCTCGGCAGTTGCTAGGGTGTCCTTTGAAGTCGCCGTGATTGAGATTTAGTGTTCTAAGGCAGATATTAGCACAAGTGCCTTTGTAGGATTGCTCATAGATACTGAAATCAAACTGTGAGTAACAACAAGGTTACGCGTAGGGTAATAAGCGAGAAAGACAGGTTAGTCGACAGTATTGTAAATCTTTGCCTACTATGATGGCTTAGACATGTATAACGTATGCCGATCTATAACCTACTTAAATTTGGATTAAATTGACTGAACGGTAAGAGTAGTACTAGCCGTTTGCTGATCTGAGTCATGTTTGGCGGTGTGAACTACATGGCTGGAGTATTTAAATTACTAAAAATCAGTGGTTGGACACTCTTGGTGAAATTCCTGAAAATCGGTTACATTTTGGCAGTTTGAACATTTTCATTTACTTTCACTTTTTAAAGTTTTCTCTCATCCCCTAAGCTTTTATCTAACTACTTATTCTCTGCGTACTGCTGTGAATTGCGAGGTTCTAAGCTAAATTTCAGCGTATTGTCTAATTCACTCAAACAGTCTATGATACACCAAATCTAAATGATCGATCTCTCTGTTAGTGTAAAGGCTCCTTTATGGCAATCTCATTAGTGCTTGATGATTCATTATGTTGTAACCTGTCGAATAGTGACTAGCAGTGGAATCCAGGATGCATTTTTCTTCCTATTCGAGACTTGTCGGCTGGATGTACTTGTTCCCCAGTGAATGGTGTTGTTCCCACTTAGACTCGAACCCAGTGCCTATCTCTTCAAATGCCGAAGAGTTATCCCCTAGGCCACTGAGGCACTCTAGCCAGCATTTTTGCGAATGGTATCAGTTGTTGTTTATTGATACAACTGGAATTTACACCTTAATAGAGATATCAAACAGTAGAAATATTATTCAGCAAGAAAGCAGTAGTAGTGTGAGTAGTAATGTGGGTAGTAGTAGTAGTATTAGTAGTAGTAGTAGTAGTAGTAGTAGTGGTAGTAGTAGTAGTAGTGTGAGTAGTAGTAGTGTGAGTAGTAGTAGTGTGGGTAGTAGTAGTAGTAGTAGTGTGAGTAGTAGTAGTGTGAGTAGTAGTAGTGTGGGTAGTAGTAGTAGTAGTAGTAGTAGTAGTAGTAGTAGTAGTAGTAGTAGTAGTAGTAGTAGTAGTAGTAGTAGTAGTAGTAGTAGTAGTAGTAGTAGTAGTAGTAGTAGTAGTAGTAGTAGTAGTAGTAGTAGTAGTAGTAGTAGTAGTAGTAGTAGTAGTAGTAGTAGTAGTAGTAGTAGTAGTAGTAGTAGTAGTAGTAGTAGTAGTAGTAGTAGTAGTAGTAGTAGTAGTAGTAGTAGTAGTAGTAGTAGTAGTAGTAGTAGTAGTAGTAGTAGTAGTAGTAGTAGTAGTAGTAGTAGTAGTAGTAGTAGTAGTAGTAGTAGTAGTAGTAGTAGTAGTAGTAGTAGTAGTAGTAGTAGTAGTAGTAGTAGTAGTAGTAGTAGTAGTAGTAGTAGTAGTAGTAGTAGTAGTAGTAGTAGTAGTAGTAGTAGTAGTAGTAGTAGTAGTAGTAGGCAAAATGGTGATAACAGCAATGACATGACCTACCTATCACAGTTTTGTTCTGTACTAAATGATTTTTCTGTTTTCTTCATTCCATCTTGCGTGGTTGGTGTTAAAAACTTGGATGATAAGGTGAATGAAGAGGATAATGAAGACGATGATGTAATCGCGGGACAGAAGTTTGTATCACTATTCTCAGTTAGGATATTTTGATCCAAAGTTTCAAATTTGTCTATACCTTTCAGTGTGTTATCAGTATTCCTTGAGCTTTGAAAGTAATTTTCATGATTTGATTCAGTTTTATTTTGATCTGATGTATTCCTCTGTGATCTAATAAATTCATAATTCATCATTATATTTTGCATGCTATCAGGAATTGACCAATTATGATTGAATGTTTGATTGATATTGTCATTGTGTTGATTATTCTGACTCTGATTATCATGATAATAATGAGGCTTTTGACAAATATTCTCATAAGATTCTAATAAATGATTATGATTTGAATTAATAGGAATATCTTTCTCTTGTACCTCAGTGAACTGGAAATCACACAGAGATGAAGATGCTTCAGAGTAATCTGTATACAGAATGAATGAGAAAATAAGGTAAATTGATTATTATAATGAAGAGCGGGGGGGGAGGGGATTAAAAGGAGGACACAGTCAGTAAGAAGTTGCTTGATGAGTAAGTAACCAGTTACACTGCTGCTGAAGATATTTCTTCATTCTGAGATAACTTCATCTTAGAAATTATTGTTTCTCAGTTTTTAGTGGATTTAGTAAGCTAATTCATGCATGTATGCACCGATAACTTTTCCTGATGGATTTCCATTTACTGTTCTCCGTGCCTACAATGACGATTTTTATCGATAGATAAATGAATCGAATTTCGATCGTCAGCATGAACTATTCTACCAGCCGGAAGTAGAACGGGGAACATTCGACAATAAAACCACAGGAGAACCAAAATCGTTATCTTGAAAAAAGTTACTAGTGATCTTATCTCTGAATCAATCAATCAATAACAACATAGGACCAGGCATTTCTGCGTGACTATCCGAGTTGCCATACCTCATATCAGTACATCAAGTAGAAAGGTAGTGAGGTGAAGGATGAACGTGAACGAGAAGAGAGAAAAGAGGAATGACAAAATGGTGAGATTCGGTATGGCGTCGTTAAGATGAGGATAATGTGTGTGGAGATACATCTGCCCCACTGACATAGGTTCTGAGCCATATCCCCTAGAGTCTCCAACCACTGGTTCCTCTTGTCCCACCGACCCCAACCACCTAGTCTGAATCGCCCTACATGGCTTAAACCAACACTCAGAGACTTCATACATTGATGCCATGTTTTAGTAAAGCCACCACGGACCTTTTTCCAGCCTGGACCTGGATCTTATCTCTAGTTCTGGTTAGCGGTGTAGTACACCTTTCGAGAATTTGTTCTATAGAGATTTCATCAGCAATGTCGCAGAATCCACCAATTTTGCTGATGATGAATCCAAGGAGGCATGGAGAGATCAGTCATTGCTTTCACACGATGAATGTCAAGAATTCAGAGCCGAATACAACGTATTTAGGTGTCAAGTTATCCAGCTTAGTTATAACCCAGCAACGTTCTATTCAGAAAGATTGAATCTTTCAGGTTGAGATATGATTCTCACTGTATAATCCTTTCTGATCATTTTTCGTGATTAAAACCTTTGAATATACCGATATTCAGCTTCTTTGGTGGAAGGGGTGTGAAGCTTTCAATAAATCATGTATAATCAGTCATTTTAACTAAGTGCAGACGACAGTGTTTAAGAACTCGAAAAGGCGAGAGGAAGCAGAATATATCTTGACATCAAACTGTTCTTCTTCTCATCCCACCTCCCTTCAGCGAGAACAGCTCAGCTATGGCTTGAGTAGATCAGTGGTAGACTGGCTGTCTGTAACACTGTGTTGGGCGGTTTGAATCTCATATGTGAGCTCTTTTTTTCGAAGTTTTCAGATACGTCTGGCTGAAGACTGCCAAAATGCCTGAACTCCAAAGAAAGCTATTTTGCTTCTGCTGTACTTCCATCTAGATGTGAATGCCTTTCGTCTCCGTAAGCTGACTGCATTGGTTGGGACAATGAACATTTACATTCACCATTGTTGGCATGCTTCGTTAGCTGACTGAATGTCTCTACATAGACATGTAAGTAAAACCTGCTTTGAATTGAATTGAAGGCATTAAGAAAATTGTTGTGGCGGTTGCGTGCAGAAATCGATAAGTCCTATACGTCTTTCCTATATAACTGTATCTGGAAATTGGTGGCACTCGACCAACAATCACGGAATCTGTCGTCTCTTTCTTGCCCTGAATATATATATGGCAGACGTTACATTACCATACTAGATATCATCATCGATTCAGTAGAGAAAATATTCTACAGTTATATGAAATGTATTTCGATTTACGTCAATCTGGGGAGAAAGTGACCAAGTCATTGGTTTGAGTATTAAAAGTAGCTTTAGGCAAACTTCATTTAGAATGTTCATGTACAGACCAGTGATTCGTCATTAATATATATCATTTTGACTATCTGAGTAAGATATTCGTGGTTTGGTAGACTCTCATTACTGATACCAGGTGCTCCGTTGGTAGAGCATCGTGGCAGAAACCCAAATTTTCCAAATTTTCATTTCACCTTGAATCATCACCTAGTGTTAATCATATCTGTGGAATTTCATGGATTCTTATCATCCAGAAGATTTTGCAAATCTTCTGAGCTCAGTTTAGCCAATGATTTTAGTATTTAAACAACCTATGCTGTCCTGTTAAACATTTTTCATTGAATTATTTTGGTAGCCTTCTTCAAACTTCAATATTTACCGACCTACTAACGTATAACTTCATAGTTCACATCTGATGAGCATAATCTCTACCTCCTCAGTGTTCGTATGCTCAAAATTCTTATTTTATTTCAAGGATCGTATACATTGTGCTCTGTTCTTGTAATTTCAAAGCATATTGATCTTGGTGACTGGCAGAGGAATCCGCGAGAAGTGTTTCGTCCTATTGGGGACTCGTCAGTTGATTGTACATGCACCCCAGTGAATTGTGTTATTTACAAGTAGGGTTCACCATGGACTGACATCAGTTGGGGAACCATTGAAAACCTAGAAGCACTGGACACCTGTTTCTACTCCTAGTATGCAACTCCTCAACAGTACGCAACCATGACCCGGCTAGGGGTGGGACTCAGGACCTTCAGGTTTCACACCGAACACGTTACCCATTCAGCAACTGGGTCGGTTTCCAGTGGTTCACAATTTCCAACTTCTGTTAATTCACGATATAGCGTAACTATCATCCAAGGTCTTCATTTGGCATCCACTTCACTTCTGACTGGTTGACCCCACTAGTCACGACTTCTTATTGGAACTTCGTGATATCCATCTGGAAGCAAGTCACTAATGAGGACCATACAGTATTTTTGAGATGAATGGAGATTTTTTTAATTTAGAAGTAGTATTCATCATGGACCAGTGACTGATGGGTCAACCAGTCGGAAGTGAAGTGGATGTCAAATGAAGACCTTGGATGATAGTTACGCTATATCGTGAATTGACAGAACTTGGAAATTGTGAACCACTGGAAACCGACCCAATGGCTGATGGTTAACGTGTTCGGTGTGAAACCTGAATGTCCTGAGTTCGATGCTTAGTGGGGTCATGGTTGCGTATTGCTGAGGAGTCCCATACTAGGACGAAGCAGCTGTCCAGTGCTTCTAGGTTTTCAATGGTTCCCCAACTGATGTTAGTCCATGATGAATTATTATTATTAGTCCCGTGGGTTACTAATGGAACATAGGGATTCAGTAGCACAACTCCATTCAACTCTGTTCTCTGAAATCTTTTGAACCTGGCTCCACAACAGCCCACAACTTCTCATTTCCTCCTCGCACGATCTCCTCCATGTCACCTCATCTCGGACCCCCAACTCGTCGTTTCCCATCTGTCTTCCACTCGAGAGCCTGGCCTGGCGCGTGATGTCCCCAGCTGGCCTTCTTAGTGTATGTCAAATCCATCTCCACTTCCTCCTCCATATTTGTTGAGCGATAGGTTCTTGGTTGATTCGTTCCCAGAGTTCCTTGTTGCTTATTCTTTCTGGCAATCCATCTGATCTTCAGTAGCGAGCGTAAGTAGTTGTTGATGAATGTCTGTAGTTTATTGGAAATCCCTTCCGTAACGCGCCAAGTCTCTGAACCATACAGAAGCACTGACTTCACGTTGGTGTTGAAAATCCGTATCTTGTTCCACATGCTGAGTGCAGAAGATCTTCACACTGGTTTCCGGCTAATGAACTCCTGTCTTGCTTTTCCCATTCTGACTTTGACATCCTCGTCTGTGCCTGTGCCGCCTGTAGTTGAAACAGTGCTGCCTAGGTAGGTGTAGGTGAAGGAGGTTACTTCATTTAAGTTTCTCCCGTTGATGTTGTCCATGATGAATACTACTTCTAAATTAAAAATCCCTATTCATCTCGAAAATAAATTGTGTTATTCACAATATTTTGCTGATTGTTTCAAGTATTTCACAAGAAAGATATTTTGGAATAAAACACATCCACACAACCTGGTTCAATTAGTTTTTTTAGAAGAGTTTCACAAGAAATGAAAACTTTATTCTGAAAATAATCATTATCAAGAAATTGCCCCCGTTCTTGAAACGCTTTAAGCCAAGAAAATAAATCTCGTGTATTACAGGATTTGAACTAACACCTTCATATATCACGGGGAGTAGTTTTGATTGGTATCAACCTACGTGAATGATTCGACCCAGAAGCCAGTTAATAAAGAATGCTGGATTGTTATTCATGAACTGATTCCTTTAGAGTGATTTTTTTAGGAGACTTTTTTTTCATACTGAAGTAATGTTGAATAAAGAATCCCAGAAGTAGTGAGTTACTGAATAGATTTGTCTTTGAATTACTTCAGTGATACTTGTCTACCAATTGATATCAGACACAGACCATGAAGACTAATGGCAAATATATCACCTTTAAATAAATGAATCAGAGCTCAAACACTAAATTTTTACAAATTTAGATAACTTCAAATGTGTCGATATGCAAACACCGTCATATGTGAAAAAATTGACTCCGCAGCTCAATCAGCTAAGATTTTTGAATGACAGTCATTAACTAGTCAGTAGTCTGACGGACAAATTGCTGAAACTCTAATGAACTCTTGTGTTAGTAGTATAGGCACTGCCAGTGTATATATCAAGCAGCTGGTTGATAGACAATAAACCTGATGAAAATGTATATTAGTTAGTTGAAGGGAATCGAAAGAAAGCCATGCACTTAAGTTTTGTACTTGTTGACATTCATCAGCGTACCTGCATCTTCGAAGGAGACAATGTTCCCTCTGAGATTTAAACCCACATCACAACACTGTTGTAGTCAGGTGAGGGCACGGTTGAACTCCTTCAGGAACGGATTAGAAATATGGATTAGTTGCCCTTTGTTATAATGCGCAGGAGGATTTGCAAAATTTTCATAACAACCCGTGTATATAGTAATGGTGGACAGTGGCTAGCAGTGGAAT